TTTGGTTAAAAAGAAAGATTCTAGTTGGCGTATGTGCGTGGATTATCGCAAGTTGAATGAGGCTACTATTAAGAATAAATATACCATACCAGTTGTTGAAGACATATTTGATGAGCTACATAGATCAAGAATTTACATTAAGTTAGATTTTAGGTCTGGTTATCATCAAGTTCGTATGAAGAAAGGGGACGAATACAAAATAGTTTTTCGCACACATCATGGGCTATGGGAATTTAAAGCCATGCATTTTCGGATGACGAATGCCCCAGCCATTGTTCAGGCACTTATGAAACAGATCTTTGGGCCTTATTTGAGGCAATTTGTGCTTGTATTTTTTGATGACATTCTTTTTTACAGCGGGTCAATGGCAGAATATCTGAAGCATTTACAAATGGTGTTCGAGTTGTTGAAAGCAAACCAACTGTTGATCAAGAAGTCTACATGCAGTTTAGGCCAAGACAAAGTTGAATATCTGGGCCATGTCATTTCGAAACATGGGGTGAGTATTAATGAGTCTAAAATCAAGGTTATGCTAGATTGGACCCAGCCCAAATTAGTCAAGGAGCTGAGGGGATTCTTGGGCCTCACAGGCTACTATAGAAGGTTTATCAGAAACTTTGCTATAGTTGGTAAGCCCTTGACGAGCCTATTAAAAAGGGAAAATTTCAGCTGGTCCATGAAAGTAACCCAAGCCTTTGAAGAGCTTAAGCAAGCCATGGTCCAAGCCCCAGTATTAGCCCTGCCAAATATGCAATACCTTTCATTGTGGAAGTAGATGCTAGTGGGAAGGGAATAGGGGCAGTTTTAATGCAAAATGGGAGGCGCATTGCCTTTATCAGTCAAGCGCTAAGCTCAAGACATGGGCCTTTCAATATATGAAAAGAGCTAATTGCACTATTGTATGTTGTGGATAAGTGGCAACATTATCTACAACCTAATCATTTTATCATCAATACAAACCATTTTAGCCTTAAATTCCTAAAAAATCATAAGTTGACCAACTTATTGCAGCACAAAGGAGTCACTAAGATATTGGGTTTGAGCTATGAGATTCATTATCGAAAGGGGGATGAAAATGTAGGCCTAGATGCACTCTCAAGAAAGTATGATGAGGGTGATTGTGCCGGACTCACAGTTGTTCAACCGAAATGTGCTGAAGACGTTTTAGAAAGTTATCAAAATGATGCACTTGTTCAAGACATTTTCACTCAGTTATCTGTGGATCCTAATGTAGTTCCAGGGGTGCAGATCCAAGATGGTATTCTCAGGCAAAATGGAAGAGTTTGGGTGAGAAATCATGGTGAGCTCAGGCAAAAGTTAATTAAGGAGATGCATTCATCACCCTGGGAAGGTCACTCTGGTATATATACTACACAATAGAGGCTAACTTATTCTATTGGCCTACTTTATTACAGGATGTCAAGAAACATATCAAGGAATGTGAGTCCTGCCAGAGAAATAAGGGGGAGAGTGTTGCTTACCTTGGCCTTCTCCAACCACTACCAATACCTTCGCGATTTTTGGAACATGTTGCAATGGACTTCATCAGCGGATTGCCTAAATCTAATGGTAAACATTCAATACTTGTAGTAATGATAGATACACAAAGTTTGCTCATTTCTTTGCCCTTGCTCATCCCTACACAGCTAGTCAGGTCTCTCAAGTGTTCTTAGATAATATATACAAGTTACATGGAATGCCAAACTTAATAGTTTCAGACAAGGATCCAATTTTTGTTAGCACTTTCTGGAATGAGCTATTCAAGGGGTTACATGTATAGCTAAAACCAAGTACTGCTTATCATCCGCAAACGGATGGGCAATCAGAAAGGTTAAACCGATGCCTGGAGACACACTTAGATGCATGACGGGTCATAAACCTTTTGAGTGAAAAAAATGGTTCGCACTAGCTAAATTTTGGTACAATTCGAATTTTCACTCAGCAATTGGTATGACGCCCTTCAAGGCTCTATATGGGTATGATCCTCCCCAACCCACATTCGAGCTGGTGGCCCAAACAAACTTGAATCTGTAGACTTGGTCTTAAGAGAAAGGAAATTAATGTCCAAGGTCCTCCATGATAACCTCACAAAGGCACAAGCAAGGATGAAGAATTATGTTGATGGAAGAAGAAAAGAGAGAAATTTTACTGTAAGGGATTGGGTGTTCTTGAAATTACAGCCTTATCGACAAACCTCCGTGGCAGTGAGGAAAAATTTGAAGCTCTCAGCTCGCTATTTCGGCTCTTATGTAGTAATCAGAAAGATTGGTTCAGTTGCCTAGAAACTCCGATTGCCATTGGGAAGGAAGATACACCTTGTTTTCCACGTTTCGCAATTGAAAAAGAAAATTGGGGAGAAGGCTTTTGCCATACAAGATCAGCCTTTTTGCACTAATGATGGCCAGATTCAAACTGAGCCATTGAAGATCCTAGAAATAAGGATGGTCAAAAAGAAGAACAAGACAGTGGTAGAAGTGTTGGTGCAATGGGCAAATTTGGCCCCCGAAGAAGCTACATGGGAGGAATACGGTTTTGTGAAGAGTCAATTTTCTAATTTTGAACCTTGAATTATATCAAGGTTCCTTATGGGGGATGAAGTATAGCAGTCATCGCTGATGAGCAGTCATATCAAGGAGTTATTAATTAAGTCCATCTAGTTTAGTTATTTCTATTCTAGTCCAATAGTATTTACTTTTTCAATTAAGCCCTCTTAGGTTCTAGGAGCAGGACATGTGTCATTTTGTTAATTGGTTTGTTACACAAAACCAGTTGTCCCTTTCTTGTTTCGTTAGGCATATATTGCCAGTCCTTGTATTCAGCAAGGTATCTAGATATGACAAAATTGACATTTTAATTCTTTTTCCTTCTTTTATTATTTTATTGTCTTTCTCTTTAATTTTCATAGTAGCAGACTGCTACATTAACCAAGTTTAAATAAATCTTTGGGAATCCACAAATTTTTTTGTTGTGTAAAATAATTTACATAATTTATACAGATCATTGTAAGCCCGTAAATCCCCCCTTTTTTCTTACTAAGTCGGTGACCACAGAGAAATCGAGTAACAATAATTTATTTATTTTCAAATCAAATTTGATTAACTCATTTATCAAGTCCCAACGCATAAAAACAATCTCAACGCCTACACAGTTGAAACAAACTTGTTTGAAAGTTAAATTGGTTTATATTCCAAAATAAAGAGTTATCGCACGAAGTAATTTTATGGAGCCAGTAACTAGGAACAAGCAACGCAAGCTCTGATACCAATATTAAAATAAATTGCGGGGCGAGAACAACAAATTGTTTACCTTTTAATGCAACGGAAGTTGTGGTACTTGCCACCAAAAGAGTTGCCCAAGTCGAACTTCGATCACTAGAAAACGATGTTTAATCCACGAACTAAATGTCTTTCATTGTGTGTTTTTCGAAGAACAAGAGAATTTTCTCTCCTTTCTAAAGTAGCTAAAGGAAGAAGTTGAGAAGAGAAGAAAGCGATCAATTTTTTTTAATCAAATATGATCTTCCTTTAATAGAAACTACCCTACGATTTCTTTTTAACTTCTCTTCAGGGAAGTTATCTTTTAACTCACTATTATCTTCCCTAATCGGAATGGGTTAGCCCATATGGGCGACCCAAAAAAAAGCTAACAAGATGGAATAACTCAACAAAGATGGATTTCTAGAACAATTAGATAGAATTCCATATACTTTCTTGGTATGGATTTTTTTTTAAAGGAAGACTTGTTAGAAAATAATTTTATATTTTACTAGTTTTATTTTCTAATCACTAGTATAAATATTTATTATAAAAAGTACTTTTTAAGCTCATACCTAACCTTCTTATATTCACATGAGTTGGTTAAAAAATTAAACCCATTATTAAAGTTTTTATTAGTTAATTTAAGTAGCAATATTATTTAGAGGATACATATTATTTTTTACAATATTTCTTACCAATTTATAATTATTTAATATATATAATTTATCTATATGTTAATCTAAAATATATTTTTATTTAATGATGTAATAGAACTTGTCCAATCAAATACAAAAGTTAAAATTACATTAAAATTACTGTATTGTATAATTATTAGAGCATGGAACCACCAAAGGATGTGGTGCACATTGATCCTCCCTTAATCAGAGGTCTCGAGTTCGAGCCCTAAGTATGAAAAAATCCTTGGTAGAGAGCACTTTCCCCGAATGGGACCCTACGCGGTGCGAATTAAATATAGCCGGGCCCCAATGCAGGTACCGGACACCATGTAGGAACTAAACAAAAAAATAGAGCATGTAATACATAACCAAGTAATTACCCATAGCTTAAAAAAAGCACAAGTTTGTGGGACCCACGGTATAACCAGTTTTCCGACTGGTCAATCAAAAATAGCCAGCGTTTACAAAGTCAATAAAAAATAGCCACTATTTTGCTGCAATAGAGACCGGTCCAGCATAATATACTGGAGTTCGGTGCACTTGTGTATGAACTCCAGCATATTATGCTGGACCGGTATACTTTGCTGGCTCCAGTATAATATACTGGAGACTGGAGCATCGGTGCTCCAAACTCCAGTATATTATACTGGACCAATATACTTGTTGGAACTCCAGTATATTATGCTGGAGTTCTAGTGTACTTATGTTGGAACTCCATCATATTATGCTGGAGTTCCAGCATACTATCCTGGAACTCCAGTATAATATGCTGGAGTTCAATTATACTTATGCTGGAACTACAGCATAATATACTGGCGTATTTTCCGGATTTTGAACAGTGTTCTCGCTTAATTTTATCTTTACATGAAAAATGGCTAAATTTCAATTACTTTTAAAACTGGACTATTTTTGATTGACCAGTCCGAAAACTAGCTATACCGTAAAATTTTGGCACAAAAGGGCGACAAAGCAATTCCCCAATCCCGAGAGGACTATAATTGTCATTTCGTAAGCCAAGTTGGTTTACCCTAACCCCGTAAAGGCGCTCCACTATAAAAAATCACGATGCAGCCACTTCGGGAACCCTCTTTGGCCTCTCTGTTTTCTCCTCCTCTTGTGCGTTTTTGTTAAGCAAGTTCTTCAGAGGGAGAAACAGAGAAAAATTCTCTACGATAATGTTGGTTTATCAGGATCTTCTCTCCGGTATTTTTCTATCCTTCCCTTTGTTAAATTTTTTATTTGGGATGTAAATTGCTCGCTGTTTTTAGCATGGGCTGTTTAAATCCTTGCCTGTGTGATGATTCTGTAGTTCGTTTTGGATCGTTGTTGCTATGTGCTTGATTCCTTATAAATAGTTATTGGTGAAAAGTCCTGTTCTTGTATGGATCTACTTTTACAAGTTGGATTAGCTCTGTATTTTTCGGCAACCATGTTTTTTTTATTAATGCGGCTTGGACGAGGATCTGTTTTTGTATTATGTTAGGAAGGTCATACTAGGTTATGGTTTAACCTAATAATTTTAATTCGCTAAACTATTCAATTTTGGAACTTTGATATTGTTGCCGTATTAGTTTACTCAATCATTATTAGATTTGTTTTTCTATACTATTATAATGTATTATATATACATTAGATATAACACCAAACTTTTCAAAAACTGTCGTTTTTTAAACGGAGGGAGTATCATTTAGAACTCTTGTAATGCATGTCTCAATTTAAGTCATCCGCTTCCCGTGAATTCGGCCTGATACAGTTGCGCCTTCAAAGTCCCATTGCTTGGGCCTCTGATGTCGTGTAGAATTGTAGTACTCCTTTGTAGATGAATCTGATATCTCTTTCTGACCTCACCAGTCACTTGTTGTAGCTTATTTTATTTTTTGGTGCTTGAGACAGTTTTTTCTTTGGATCTGCAGCTATTTCTTCCCTGTTCCCTTCACTATGAACAGATACTTCTTTGTTAATTTTTGGTTTTGTTGAAGATCTCACTTTTGTGCTTTGAGTCCTTTCTGGTGTCCCCTGTTAATTGTGGGATGTAGTGTTGCTAAATAAATGCTCCAATATTGCAGGTGATGAGCTCCTTTCGGATTCATTTCCCTACACTGAACTTGAGAATGGAGTGCTTTGGGAAGTACAAGGGAAGGTAGGATTCTTTAACTTCATTTGCCACTACGCGTTTTGTCTTCTTAACACGCATGCATTTTACAAACTGTCTATTGTATAAGAAATGTTGTGATGTTCTTTTTGTTTCTTTTTTTGCATTTCAGTGGGTTGTTCAGGGAGCTGTTGATGTGAACATCGGGGCGAATCCATCGGCTGAAGGTGCAGATGAAGACGAAGGTGTTGACGATCAAGCCATCAAGGTTGTTGATATTGTTGACACTTTCAGGCTTCAGGAGCAACCTTCTTTTGACAAGAAGCAGTTTGTTGCCTACATGAAGAAATATATCAAGAACCTAACTCCCAAGTTAGCCGCAGAGCAGGAAGAAGTTTTTAAGAACAACATTCAAGGAGCAACCAAGTACCTTTTGTCAAAGCTCAGTGACCTTCAATTCTTTGTTGGTGAGAGCATGGCTGATGATACTGGAATGGTGTTTGCATACTACAAGGATGGCGCCACTGATCCTACCTTTTTGTACCTCGCACATGGACTCAAGGAGGTCAAGTGTTAAAAAGAGTAGGAGCTTGACCGGTTATGTGTTCCTAGTTTTGATGCATTTTTTACCATTAAATCAGTTGTCTGAAGTTAAAAATTGTACTGCAAACTTATATAGCAGCTTCGATATTTGTGTGCTTTATATGGATTGATTGAAGAATCAACACATATACCTAAGATGGTAGCAAATTTCTTTTTGATTTGTTGCTTTAGTGACTGTTGGATGTTCTTGTTGTTATGTACTAGCAATTTTGCATTATTCCGAGGTCTTGAAATTGTTTTTGTCCTAAAGAATTTCAAATATAATATGTATGAAGTGTAAAATTATGAACCAAGACTTTTAGCTGTAGCTCAAGTTCCATTATTACTTGAGGTGGCAGGCAATTGGTAAGGTTTCCGATTATATTGATCCTTAATTAGTCTTAGGTACTATTACAAATGGTTGAAGGGTGCAAAAGCGGGATTGTGTCATGGTTTATTTATCTCCAAATGTGCCCAAGACACACTCTCCTTCCAAAGTGGGTGCAAAAAGATAGTTACCCTCGTACCTTGAGCACCTGAACATCCTCGACTAAGTGTAAATAATAAAAGTCCGAATATTTCATGAAGACGAACACTAAACTCAGGCACTAAGCATTAAAAAAAGAAGCCACATTTGAAACTTGACGTGGCTTGTACGAGTTGTGATGGTCTAGCAGGTTGTGGCACCTCGCCCGTCATGCTAAATGTCACTGTTTTCCAGCATAGGGAAGATAAAACTGATGTTTAGGTTGATCAAAAGGCTGGGACTGGATTTTTTTTTTTTTGGCCCCATCTGCCTCTTATATGCAAGTGGGAGAACTTTTTGATTCATAATTTAATTCTTGAATGTTTCCTAGACATTTTTGGAATTTCCGTGGAGTAGGAAATCTGCAATATCTGAGGTATTCATAATAAATTAAAGCAGATCAATTCTCATGTTCTATAATTTGCCATTGAACTGCTGTTTCTCAGTTTCAAAAAAAAGTGACCAACTTCTGCTTGTTTGGAGCTATTGTCCACTCACTGCTTAGGTCCCTGCAACAAGTTTTTGCTACCAGAAAAAGTTGCCTGGATTAGAGCATAATAATCTTGCAACTTTTTAAGCAAAATTTTCTGCAAAATGAAGAGGTTCCTTGAGAAAAAAGAGGCACTCTTTTTGTATAATTTTACTGCGAATAAATTCAAAGGACTTCTTGGACTTTCTTTCAATTTGCCACAAAAGTACTAGTACATATCAGGAGCTACTATATATATATATATATATATATATATATATATATATATATATATATATATGAACATGACATAACCAGATATAACATTGGACAACAGCTTTACAAGCAGCTAAGAAATTATGGCCCATGACATAACCAGATATAACAGGAATATCGTTTGAAATACATAACATAATTCATCCAGCAAAGGACCTTAAATATATCTATGGAGCCAAAAGCATTAGATGATCCCAAAATTATAAGTCAGACAGATCAATTCGAGAAAGTATATGTATCACCATTCTGCCTCTATGAATCTGAAGTCAACATGAACATCTACAATGTCCTTCAATTAGTAGTCAACTAGCAAAAGCTTAATTAGTACTTAGTAGTCAACTAGCAAAAGCTTACTACCACAACTGTCACAATATTTGCGGGGCTATACAACCTGAATTTTCAATCCCAGCCAGTAGCAGTAACAGGTGCATAATCAACACTGTAACTGTATGAAGCAGCAGGAAAGGAGTCCGTTTCAGAAGGACCATAACAACCCGCTGCAAAAGGAGCACCGTAGGTGAAAGCACTAGCAGACACAGCATAATTAGTAGCATCTTCTGCATCAACAAACTGGCTAGAGTAGTTTCCACTACCACTATGGAAGGAAGCACTCCTGTAATCATAGCCCCCGAACTTACTTCCAACATAGCGACTTGTTCTAGCACCATCACTGCTGTAACATGTTTCAGCATATTCACTCAGCCAATTAGGAATTTCTTGATTTGCCCCCTGCATCAATTCAACAAGATCCTTTGCCAAAGGTACATTCTTGTCATTGAAAAATGCAGTTGCCAGTCCAGATTTACCAGCACGACCTGTTCGTCCAATTCTGTGTACATAGTCATCTATGTTCCTTGGCAAGTCAAAATTTATGACATGAGCAACATTTGGAACATCCAGACCGCGAGCAGCTACATCAGTTGCAACTAAAACAGGAGTTTGTCCACTTTTAAATGATTTTAGCGCTCGTTCTCTCTCCTTCAACATCATGTGAGAAGAGCATTAAAATTTTGCATACCATCAACAAACGTAATCAGTTTAATGCAAGAGTTACCAAGTAACAGAACCAAGATTGTATAATTAAGTAGAAATTTGCCTATTAGCATGTCTTTTATTCACAATCCCCATTTTTTCTTAAACTGAAAAAAGAAACATGAAATTATCTATTTAGATCAGCTTAACCAACTTTACATGAACCCGAACCATCATACTGCAGTGTAACATGTTTAGATATCACAGATGAACACGCATACAAATACATCTTCCTACATCTGAGAATAGAATCTTAAATTATGACAACATAATGCAGCAAAAGTATGAACCATCCAGGTTTATCAACATTTAATACCATAAGTAGTAGCCAATTAGCAAACAGAGTTACTAAAAAGTTGGAGTAAATCAGCAATAGATCAAATGAGTAGGGGCATAACAAGATTTAATATTTTAAAATGCATGCAGTAGGCAGAATGAGCATGGGCTTGATCAGACTCAAACTATTGAAGTGCATGAGCAAGCATTTGTTGAAAGCGGAGAGAAGGAAGAGAGACTAACAAACTGCATTTTATCACCATGAATGGCAATAGACGGGATACCACTCCTGACCAACCAACGCTCTAATGTATCTGCTCCTCTTTTGGTCTCCACAAATATTAGAGTCAAAGCCAGCTGCAACAATGATATAGAGATTTGATCATTTTGCTTATGTTCATGTTCAGAAGCAACTTAATCTTAATACAATCAATACCCTAAATATATAAGACTTCTCACCTTTGCATCCATTTGATTTGAATGTTGAGCATGAAGAAGATTTAGTAAATGATCCTTCTTGTCCGTATCAGGAACAAACTCAACTTTTTGAACTATTAGATCAGTGCTGGACCCAACTTTTCCAGCCGCCAAGAAGATGTAGTTTGAAAGAAAATCCGATGCAAGCCTCTGTATCAGTAAATTGAAAGGTGCAACAGTCACATATTAGTTATTACCTGAGCCAAGTGCTTTAGTTTGTAAAGAAGAGTAACAAACTCAAACCATTCAAGATCATCACACAACTTTGCCAACAAAACCATCATATCATAATATTTGATGATTGGCTCATTGATGACAGTGATGTAATAAATATCTATAAGAAACTAAATAGATTTGTCTGGGGAAAAAACACTACATGCAGGCACCACTTAGTAAATAGTATGTAACACCAGTTTAATTAGGCAATCAGCTAACCTGTATCTCAGTTGGAAATGTTGCACTAAAAAGCATTGTCTGCCTTCTACCAGGTGGGGGCATCTTCATTTTCTGAACAATCTTACGAACTTGGGGCTCAAAGCCCATATCAAGCATCCGATCAGCTTCATCTAAGGCCAAATATTTCACTGCTTGTAAGGAAACTCTGGATTTCTCTATCATGTCCACCAAGCGCCCAGGTGTGGCAACTAAAATGTCAACACCCTTTTCCAGATTGCGTAACTGCAGAAGCAAAGTTATTAGAATCAAGGACTGAGATGCAAAGAACATAGGACTTTAAACTGATCATGCATGCTTTAGCCTAAATGATAAAGAATGAAATAAGCTAAACCTTCTTTTGTTAAGTAATTAAGGATACTAAGTAAGAAATAATGCATCCAGTAAATAAAGCATAGCCAGTTGAAGCAAAGATTGCAGGAAATGGTGAAAGAATTAAGGCCCGAGATTCAATGAGCATATCATTGTAAAACTGGTCCATACTAAAAGCCAAAGATGCAAACAAAATATCCTATTATTTTTTAAGGATGGTAAGTAAACATGAAGGCGTCTAGAAAATACAGGGTGACATAATCAAATTAATTTGCATAGAAACTAAATAAGATACTCTCTGCTAGCAGTAAGATGAAAATAAGAGGAACATGAGAAAATATTACTCCATCCATCTCAAAAAGAATGAATGATAAGGGTCAAACCTCCATCTCAATTCCAACATTAGTTGATTTATTTTCTCAACATAATTAGAAACTATCAACTACATCTTTTTTATGATTACAAATATTTAAAAATTGTTGTAAAAGAAAAGATTGTGCAACTCATGAAATCAGTAGTTTTATACGAAATGAGACAAGGGGCTCATAAAGAGCAATAACTCAGCCAAAGGCATGTAGGAGGATGCAGGCAGCAACTCATGCCTGCCACCAGACATGTACACAGCCTTTTATAATCCTTTTAAACTGATGGAGATCTTGACTAGAGCGCTGCAACAGGCTTTTAGCTATGCATTAGGGTACAAACATATTCTCCACCATACCATTTTCTATAATCTCGACTCTAGCAACAACTGAAGAAGGCACAAAATTACACCCAAAAAGGGGGAAACGAAAAAGCAATAAACAGTAAGGCAAAGCAACAAAAAAAAAACCTGAGGCGTTATGGGTGCTCCTCCATATACAACCACAACCTTCAATCCTGTCAAGTAAGAGAACTTCTTCGCCTCTTCATGTATCTACACATAAAAATAATTATGAAAAAAATAAGAGAGTTAATAGGTTAAAAGTGGCCATAAAACTCACATTTCCCCTAGTATAAATGAAAAAGAGAACGGAGTATGAAAGAGGGAGGGAACCTGACAAGACAACTCTCTAGTAGGAGAGAGTATGAGAGCAAGAGGAAAAGCGCAACCCCCCCTTCCCCTAGTACTAATACTAGCAGTAGTCCTTTTGTCCTTCAAAATCCCACTGATAATGGGAAAGCAAAACGCGGCCGTTTTCCCTGAACCGGTCTGAGCACAAGCCATCACGTCTCTCCCGGCCATTCCGACTGGTATTGCGTATCGCTGAATGGGCGTTGGCTTCGCATACTTGCACCTCCTTATGTTATCATACAAGTCACCAATTTCCGAAAACGACGAGAGTGGCTCCGGAATATCAGCCCCACTAACCTCCACTGGAACATCATCATATGCATTTACATTCAGTTGTTCAACATTTGAACGTGGAGGAAGCGATGGGTTACGCAGGTGAGGAGGGAGGTAAGTGGGTCGAGTAGAACGACTGGAGCGAGTTGACTCGGTATAAGAACCACTCCATGGCATACTCATTTTGGAAAATAACCCTAAAGGACAAAAGCTGGTGAGAAAGAAAGCTAAGGTTTAAAGGTTTTGATAGACCATTACTATTATACTACTAATATGTATCTGAGGAGAGTAAAAAGGATAGCAGTGAATAAAAGAAAGAGGTTTTGGGGATCGTCGTGTGTGTGTATGTGTGTGATGATTGGAGGAGAAGAGAACCAATTAGGTGTGATTTCCTATAGAAGAGAGAGAGGGAGAGGGAGTGAGAATGGAAGACTGGGAAATAGAAGGTTACATGGGGAATAGGGAGAGACTTGCAGTGTATACCATTTTGGTAATTTCATCACCCTTCAAGCGCGTGCAATGCACATCCACGTCCCAACATTATCTTTCCTCATATAAAAACTGATTTTTACTAATGATGATAGGATAAAATTAGGGTTGTTCATGGTTCGGTTTTGATCGGTTTTTCCCTTAAAAGAAATCAAACTAAGTAAGTCGGTATTTCAAATATTAGAACCAAACCAAATCAATTAAGTCGGTTTTTTCTCGATTCGGTTTATGTCGGGTTTTATCGGTTTTTCGGTTTTTTGTTGGTTTTTCTTAAATATAAGACATACACTACCAAACACATATTCCGGCGACCACATTTTCAACGTTAACACTATCAAATCAATTGCCCTTTGAGAATCTATTATTTACCAAGATATATTGATGATAATTGAATCAAATAGTGATGAATAATTTAAGGACTCAATTAAAAATATATTATTTTTAACACGAAATGGATACTTACACTTCACAAAAGAAAACTATCAATCAAACTAGAATGTAAAGGTAAAGAACTCTACTAAAAGTGCAAACTATTAACATTTACCATTAAATTTTTAAAACTTTGTATAAAAATATACATATATATAGGTGTAATAATAAATTTGAAATAGCTACTCCTATAGTCGGTTTGGTTCGTTTTTTTTCTGATTAAAACCAAAACCAAACCAAATTTGATCGGTTTTTAAAATTCAAAATCAAAACCAAACCAAACCAAAAAGTATCGATATTTTTGGTCGGTTTGAATTGATTTTCGATTTGGTTCGATTTTTCGGATTTTTATGAACTCCCCTAGATAAATTTTATGTTAATTCTGTATCTCCGAGCAATTCACCAAGCAGCATGCTATGGTTCTAGGTGTCAATAAACCTACTTGTCAAGGTTACAATGAGTAGGCTAACACTGATTCTTATTGACAAATACTTATAGCCTGTTTGGCCAAGCTTCTTTTTGGTCAAAAGTGCTTTTTTTGGTTGTCAAAAGCACTTTTGGCCAAAATTGAGGTGTTTGGCCAAGCTTTTGAAAGGAAAAAAGTGCTTTTGAGGAGAAGCAGAATCAGAAAAAAGTAGCTTCTCTCCAAAAGCACTTTTTTGAGAAGCACTTTTGAGAAAAATACACTTAGAAGCAGTTTTTTAAAGCTTGGCCAAACACTAATTGCTGCTCAGAATTGTTTTTCAAACTAATTAGCCAAACACAAACTGTTTCTCACCAAAAGTACTTTTGAGAAAAGCACTTTTGAAAAAAAGCACTTCTCAAAATAAGCTGATTTTTGCAGCTTGGCCAAACGGGCTATTACTCAATTTGGTTAATATTCTATTCATGTTAGTTAGTACTAATTTTTATTAGAAGGCATTATTTCCAATATTTATAAATTAAAAAAACAGATTGTATTGTTGTGTTTAATTCCATTTGTGTGAGTTTGCTACGCTGCCGGCCTTAAATTAGGATAAGGGGGAGTGTTGAAATATACTTAGGGGAAATATTTTCCAAATATACTTTAATTAATATATTATATTCTTTTAAACGGTAACACTCGAAATCTTACATTTATCCTTATTCTATGTTATATAAGTCTCTCAAAATATAAATTAAATTTAAATAGCTTTTTATATGTTCATAACGTCCACACATGACTTTAATTAATATACTATTAATTAATTAATATAGTATATTTATCAAATAAAAAACCGGTGAAAATAAAAAAGTGATTAAACAAGATGATAGAAATTTGACCAATTTCGGACCTAATCTTGATTATTAATAATATAGTCATACTTTGGTTTCTCTCCGAGTCTCTCACAAATTATTCAAACTATATAAGACATGAAGTGATTAAAAACACTTCTTTCTTCTTTTATTATTTTTTCCAACAAGGGACAAGCTTCCTCTCCCATAAAGTAACCCATCAATACTAACTAATCTAACAAACTAATTAATAAGTCATATTCTTATCAAAATTACCTATCCACTCACTTATTATATTTTAAGTGTAATACTTGCATGATTTCAATACTATAAGTTATATATATGCAAACACTTTAAAAAATATTACTTGATTGTCTAAGCTTATTAATTTGATGAATGTTCAAATCTTAGGAGTTAATTTTCTGATAACTACTAAATTTTGTATCAACTACACAAGTCTCATGATCTTATGACCCTTAATTTAGCTTAAATTAGATTTTGTTAGTTACATTAAACTATTAAAATAAAATAATATAGAGCTTTCAACTATTTTAAAGCATGCTATATTTTTAAAATGTAAATCTTAGATTCACGAATGCACATTGTTAATAAGATAATTAACTTTCCATCAGCATCAGCATCATCATCAACAACAACAATAATAGCCCAGCGTAATCCCACAAGTAGGGTCTGGTGAAGATAGAATGTACGCAGCCTTACCCCTACACTGGAAGGGTACATATACTGTTTTCGATAGACCCTCGATTAAAGAAGATGGAACAAGGGTTGATAGAATGTAATAGCAAGATAATATATTTAGAAAACTAAATCGAAGATAGCAATAGAGAATATGAAAGCAGTACTGATAGCAAGTAATATCAAGACAATATATTTAGAAAACTAAATCCAAGATAGCAATAGTGTAACGACCCGGCCGGTCATTTTGAGAGCATTAACCCGATCCCTTATTTACTGTTTCCTCTGTTTCATTTTATGTTATGTGACTTGCCAGGAGGATTTGTTTTGTTACACCCCGCAGTATTACGTCGACGTTATACACCATAGTATTGTACGTTGGATTTGTCATAAGATAATTTACATCAGTTCAAGGACAAGATTATTTTGAGGTTATAAGTATTATGCTATTTCAAACAAGTGATAAGTAAATTCGTAAAAGTGAGAGGGTAAGTGAATCGAAGAAAATAAGTTTCGTCAAAGTTTGATTTTGAGATAAAATTTGATCCAAGCTATAATACCCCATATTTATAAACTAGTGCCATACAAGGTACCACATGACCATGATAGTAAGGTGTATAAAGTATGTTAAAAGTGATTAGTATTTTAAGTAAATTAGGATATTACCTAATTATGTTGGAAAGGGTTAATTATTGATTTTAGTGAAAATGTAGAATTTGAAAAATATATTTTGTGAAATATTTAAGTGAGATTTTTGGATAACTATTAGGGGATATCATCCACATGGGATATAGAAACTTGGCAGCAAGTTGACATCTACTCATGTGCTTAAGGAGGTGGTGGCAATGTTTAAAAATATGAAAAAGTGACATTTACACCTTTATCTCATTTTGTTAAGAATGCCATTAAGAAAATAAAATTGTATGGCATCTAGTGATTCCTTTTTCTTATAGTAGCAACGTCCCATTCCTATTTAGTGATATTTTTCATAAGTTTTAAAGTGAATCGGGTATTACTTCATTGTGATATAAATTAACGTGAAGCTATCAAGAATGCAATCCAAGTTTGATCCAACGTCTATGACCTTCAACGAGTTTATATGAGCATTCGAGGTTAGACGTTTATCAAAAGGATTTACTAGTCGTAGTCATCCAAAGATGGAATTGAGGTATGTTAAGGCTATTTCTTTTTTCCTTTGGCGTGATCCATACGATACAAATGAAACGAGCAAATGCACAACTTTCATAAATGACTCTATTCATAGGAGTACTAGAGGTGCCTATGTTCTTGATTCCCCATATGTCTTATTATTCTATCGTCTGTTCATGGGTCTCAGAAAATAAGTAAGTTGATAAAGTTTATTTCATGATATTAATCAAAGGTGTAATGATCTTATGACATACCGAGAAATCTTATTAACTCACTTCTTATGCATTGCATTCAGTTATACATGCACATTGACCCATGACCAGATGACGTTATATATGCGTATATATATATATGTATGTATGTATATGTATATGGGGTATGAGGAAAGGTTATGGCGTTATATACACACCACCACCTGATCAGCTGGTATATGGTGATGATTTTGCCCACAATTGCCGAGATGATATGATGGTATGCCCTCAGAGGATTAATGATATTATGTACGCATATACCTATGCATGGTATGACATTTATTCACATATGCATGACATTATAAATGTTTCATAATTCATAGAGCTACGCAGACTTACATGTTGAGTCATTTACTCTCCTTCATGTCTATTGTATACGGCTTTTCCTGCCTTAATTACTCGGTACTTTATTTGTACTTATGTCCCTTTTGCCTGGGGACTGCGTTTCATGCACGCAGGCTCCGATAGACAAGTTGAGAGTCCTCCAAGTAGGCTATCAGCTCAGCGGAAGATTTTGGTGCGCTCCATTTGTTCCGGAGTTGCTTATTTGGTCAGTATGATTTGGACATGTATTGATTGGTATGGCGGGGCCTTGTCCCGACCTTTATGGTATTTATCTACTCTTAGAGACTTGTAGACATATGTCATGTATGTGAAAGATTATATGGCCTTGTCGGCCTATGTTCAGTGTACGAGTGATCATTTTGGTCTTATAGGCCCGTATGTCATATATATAAGTTTGTATTACATGTTGGGTCGTCCCATGTCGAGTGTTCCCTCATGTTTTATTCTAGCTATCTCACGGCAGCCTTTCCGTCTCATTTACCTATGATAGTATGATACGAAAGATACGTTATGTTGGTACTGGGTTGAGTAAGGTACCGGGTGCCCATCGCGGCCCATCGGTTTGGGTCGTGACAAAAGTGGTATCAGAGCAGTTCTGTCCTACGGAGTCTACAAGCTGTGTCTAGTGGAGTCTTGTTTATGGATATGTTAAGCACCACACTTATAAGTAGGAGGCTACAGGGCATTTAGGACTGTCACTCTTTCTTTTAACTCTAGATCATGTGGTAAAGCTCTGTTGTAAGAATTCAAAATCCTAACTTTTATTTTATTCGTAATACAACAATACCTACATCCAGAAAGACAGTT